GGCTTTTATCCAACTGCCATAATAAGAACAGGCTGTGTACAGCTACAGTAATCCAAACAGCCTAGCACTGGTGTAACAACATCTGATGGAACAAAACTCAGAGTGCAGAAATAAACCCACACATCCATGGTCAACTGATTTCTGACAAGAGTGCTAAATCTATTCCATAGGGAAAAAAGAGTCCCTTCAACAAATGGTCGGGGAAAATTGGATTTCCACATGCAGAAAAATGAAACCGGATCCACGCCTCACAGCGTATCAAAAGCAAATTCTAAATGGATTAAGGATCTAACTGTGCACACGCAAACCATACAATTCTTAGAAGAACAAGAGGGGTAATGATGTCAGGCCCATTTCAACAATAGAGCACCTAATATAATAACAAAGACACAATGAGCAAAAGACAAAATAAATAAATGGGACCTCATAAAAATTCAAAACTTAGATTTTTATCAGAAAATCTTCCCAGAAAGTGGGAAAAGACAAGGTGGGAGAAACTCTTCAGAAGCTATATAGCTGACAAAAGACAAACAACTCAATCAGCCATAAAGTGGGCAAAGGGCTTACACAGACATTTCACCACAGGACATTCAAATGATTACCACACGTGCAAAGATACTTGGCATCACTAGCCATCAGGTGCAAATCAAAACCACAATAAGACAGCATTCCACTCCTACTAAATGGCCACGATGGAAAAATAACAACAAGCAGATGGCTAAGGGCAGAGGGATATGGGGACCCTTATCCATTGCTTGCGGAAATGCAAACTGACATAGTCACTGGGGAAAACAGGGTGGCAGTTCCTTAAAATTAAAAGAACTATCAATTCCACTCCCAGGTACATACCAAAGACCTGAAAGCTGAGATGCAAAAAGGGACATACACACCAGCATTCACTGTAGCCAAAAGGTGGAAAGAGCCTAATGCCCACGCACAGATGAATGGCTACACAAAATATGATACATGCACACAATGTTACACTAGTCAGCCAGTAAGAGAAATGAAGCTTTGAAGCATGTTATAGTAGGGCTAGGCTGAGCAAGATAAGTCAATCACCAAAGGACAAATATTGTATGACCTCCCTTACATAGAATGATAAGAAGAGGCCCAAAGACCAAGGCCTATTTGTGGCTCCCAGGGCCAGGAAGGAAGGGAAGAGGGGGCCTAACAATGATGTAAAAAAATCATCACACAGACTAAGGGCAGGGCTGTGCAGCCAATTATTAAAACTGCTGTCAATGAATTTGTACACCTACAAAAATTTGAATCGGCGAAAGTAATGTGATAATACATTTACAACAATGACATGCTTGGAACGAGAACCAAGAAGGAGCAATGGGAATCAAAGGGAAATATGGAATGTGCTAGAACTGCCTCCATGAACAGCTGCTTCCGTTACCTATCGTGAACAGCAAAGCAAAAGAACTGCTGCCCTGCTGCCACTACTGGAGTTTGATCCACCAGTCCACAGACTAGACCGGCAGTTCTCAACCTGGGGGTCGCAACCCCCTAAGGGGTCAAATGACCCTTTCACCAAGGTTGCCTAAGGCCATTGGAAAACACATACTTCCGATGGTCTTAGGAACCGAGACACAGCTCCTCTATCTCTGTCTCCAAGTGGGTCCGCCCACATGCAGATACACATGAGTACCCGGCGTGAAGACTGTGACCCATGCTACACCACGCTTCAAGACAACGTTTCATTGATTTGTCATTAGAAATAAATGTTTCACCATACAGAATTACATATTGCTTTTGTGATTAACCACTATGCTTTCATTATGTTCAATTTGCAACAATGAAAATACATCCTGCATACCAGATATTTACATGACGATTCATAGCAGTAGCAAAATGACAGGGATGAAGTAGCAACGAAAATAATGTTACGGTTGGGGGGTCACCACCACACCAGGAACTGTGTCAAAGGGTCACGGCATGAGGAAGGTTGAGAACCACTGCTCTAGACCTTCTGGAGCCATGAGATAATATTTAAGCTTTAAGTCAAAAATACCCCTGTAATTCTTCTTAAAAGTGAACAATAACTTAGTTTAACTAGGAAAAACAACAACAATTTCTGCCCTGAGCAGACTCTCTAGAACTATCTACACAGGCTACTCCTCCCTCAAGAACTATCCATCGGGGTAAGTTTGGCAGGAAGAGTAGATGGGAACTTGGCGGACAGTGAGCTTGGGTGAGGAAGGAGGAGCACCTCAGAAAAGGAGGGGAGCGCTGGCTGCACGACTCAAAGAACGTAACCAAGGCCGGAATTGTACACGTAGAAACGACCCAATGGGTGCATGGGTACCGACAACCACAACAAACACAATCTAGAAGAATGAGAACATGATCAGATATTGTTAAGTTTTAAGAGCTCCACTAAGATTTCCTACAGAGTTTTCAAGTTCAAGTTTAGCTTGATGAAAGAATCTCTACATTTCAGGATAAACTGTTTTGTTTTTAAAGCAATTAGCTTTTGCCACTGCTTCTCTGTGTGAATTCATAGACCAGGAAATCAAGGCCGAATACTGAGACAACGGACGGCTGCGGCTGGTACAGCCTCATTCAGAATCCCAATCTCCTAGCCTTGTGTCCTCAAGAGCCCTCTCCATTAATGAGCGGCTTGATGACCTCACGGAGCTTCCATTCTGAAAGTGCTAATGTTTCCCACAGTATCCTTTGGGGCAAAACAAAAACCAGACCTATGTTTGGGACAAAACAAAAACCAGTTCAATGTTTTTGGAACAATCATGCCAAAGGCAGATAAAAGACACCAAAATATCTCAAAGGTAGGATCGGTGAGTTCAAGAGGATCTGCGTTAATGGGTAAAAAGTCCTTTTTTTTTTTTTTTTACAAAGTGTAGGTGGAGCTGAGCTTCAGAAACTAGAGCAGGAACAGGCAGCATCAGGCAGGAGGCAGGAAAGCACAGTGGGCTGGCGCACAGACGGCAGCTCGGTGCCGGACTGCTGGGGGAATCAGCATCGGGTTCAGCTCGCAGCGCGCAATCAAAGCGCCATCACAGGAAGTGTGAGGGAAACATGCTTCCCGCCCCCGCTTCCCCCTTACCTAGAGATTTGCAGACTGAAATGAAGGAAACATGCTCCCCTTACCTAGAGATTTGCAGACTGCAATGAAGGAAACATGCTCCCCTTACCTAGAGATTTGCAGACTG